AGGAGTGAAACTCTTAAAGGCCTTTCTGGTACTGGTAAAGTACATATGTGAGAAAAATTTGTCTGTTGAACTGCTTAGAAAAGTTTGGGAGTATAAGTGGCCTGCAGCTAATCATCAGTAGTGTTAAGAGAGACTGATATGCTATATGATAGTGGACGAGTCTGATTATTATCACAAAGTAAGAAGATCAGTAAACCTCAGTGATATCCTAGGGAAACTTACAGCCAGACTTCGCGCATTATGTTAACACTTATGGCTTAATTGGTTATTTTGCAATGGTGTTTCTATCCGGTAGAACGTTATGTAGGGTAATCATCTTAGGTATCATAATAGTTAAGCGTATTTTTTTGATGCCACTAGATTTTTTTTCATTAAATGAACGATTAACGAGTTCATCCAGCAAGATTATGTTCAACCAACAAGCACTTCATAATAACTATTAGATTGTGGCAAACAAACAGTAATCGAGCAAGTTAGTTCTCAACAGTTCAATTAATATTAAGAAGCATATGACATATTCTTACTAACACCTGTTACCTTTCGTGCAAGTGCATAGGCTGCCCACCACTATTTTCTATCGAACTCCATCCTAGGCAGTTGTTATTCATCCTTTTCATGTCTGCTTCCAAGTGTGTTCTTAGGTCTTCTACTTCATTCCCCTCCGAAATTCCTAGTCAGTGTTTACCTTGTGATTCGGTCTGACGATTTCAGCAATGAATTTCCTATCGACTTCCAGCGTCTTCCCCTCCCACAGTAGGCTGTCGCCGGTGGTATCCAACCATCGGGCATTGAGTATCTTCTGTAGACAGATGTTTATAAACTTTTTTTGATGATGCTTGTAGTGGTTCCCCAAGTTTCACACCCTACAGTAAAACTGTCTTGACGTTCGTATTGAAGATTCTGAATTTGATATTGGCTGATAGTTGTGAGTTCCACGAGTTATTCAGTTGTAGGAGTGCTGTTCTTTTGGCATTCTTTGTCTTTACATCTGCCTCGTTCGTCGATGATGCTGTGCAGGTAGGTTCGTGAAAGCTTTCACCTCTTCCAGAGTTTCTCCATCAAATTTGACTGGGATGGTGTTTTCCGGGTTGTATTTGAAGATCCTGGTTTTGCCCTTATATATGCTGAGGCCTATTGCTGCAGAGGTTGCTACTGAACTGGTTGTCTTGACCTGCATTTGTTGGTGTTATGGGATAGAATGGCCAGGTCATCTGTGAAGTCCAAGTCTTTTAGTTGCATGCAAGCCGTCCATTGTATTCCGTCCTTCCCCTCAGATGTCGATGTCTTCATAATCCAGTCAACCACCAGAAGAATAAGAAAGGCGACAGTAGGCAGCATCGCCTGACTCCGGTCCTTACTTGGAATGAGTCTGTCAGCTGTCCTCCATGCATCACTTTGCAGTGTAGTCCGCTGTACGAATTCCGTATGATATTGAAGATCTCATGTACACTATAATGTCGAAGACGTTTCCATAAAGTCCTCTTATCAAACGCCTCATAGTCAATGAAGTTGATGTATAATGACGAGTTGCATTTAATTGATTGTTCAACGATGATCCGTGGTGTCGCCATTTGGTCTGTACACGACCTATCCTTTCAAAATCCAGCCTGATGATCTCGGAGTCGGGCGTCTACTGTGTCTTTCATCTGGTTCAGCAACACTCTGTAGAAATATCTTTCCTGATACCGATATTAGTGTGATGCCTATGTAGTTCTCACACTCACTCAGATCTCCTGTCTTTGGTATCCTGATGAGCTATCCTTCTTCCTAGTCCATCGGCACTTGTCCCCCCCAATCTTCCTGAGTAGAACATCAGGCATACTTGCAGTTGCTTCTATGTGTGACTTCAGTGCTTCAGCTGGTATGTTGTCAAGTCCTACTTCTTCTACACTCTTGATTTGTCTGATGTCCATGTTGATTTCTTCGGTTGTTGGTGGAGAGACATCTATAGGAAGGTGTGTGTGCTGCTTCAATGTCCGGTAGATTTAATCGAACTGGCCTATTCAAGAGTTCCACCCATTTGTTCGTCTGTTGTTGAATTTCAGTGATTGGTTTGCCTTCTGAGTTCTTGACTGGTCTCTTTGGTTTACTATATTTCCCTGTCAGTTTCCTCGTCGTTTCGTATAGTTGTATCATTCTTTCTGTTGCAGCTTCTTCCGCAATCGTTGCTAGTTAATGTCGTCCCATGATAAATACATATACGGTGTTGTCCATTCCGACTTTGGCGTTTAGATCTCTCATCAGGTCATTTCCTGGGCACTTTTTTACAATCGGCTGCAGCCTCTTGTAGAATTGACCTTTATCGTCGTCGTTGCCATCAATGGTGGGTGCATAACATTCATTGTAATCCCTTCTTTGTTATGAAGGATGTTTGATAATCCTGGATCCGTGAGATTCCCATGCTATAAGTGCATTTTGTGCTTCTTTGAACAGCATCAGATCAACTCCCTAAGTGTGTGGAGCATTTTTTCTTCATAACCAGAGTACAGCAGCATCTCTTTCGAATACAACCTTTTCTGTCCATTTCGTTTCACTGATTCCGAGTTGTATCTCCTCATTTATGTAGCTATACGTTTAGTCCTCTCGGTCTCATACTCCCCGGACATTCCATTTACCCATACTAATTGTTGCTCTGGTTGTTAGAAGGGTAATCAGCCTCATGATTTCGAAGAACCTCAGCTTTCATTAGGTCATAATTCTCCCTTCACCTCTCAGGGCCGAGTTTAAATTGTTTGTTTTAGCAAGGTTGTATTTTATGCGATGGGGTTGCTAACCACATGCCCAACCCTTCTCCTTTACCTGATCTTGGGACCGGTTATCGTTTTAGAAGAGCTGCAGTCGGAGTTTTTGTTGTCATATGTAATAATAAAAAAGGGAAAAATTAATGCAATTCAACATACAGATAAGTTTGTATTCTAGATCCTGAGTAACACCTTGACTTAGTAGATCATAGTTGTGTCTAAATCACTGAGCTATGGCCCCAGGCATTACTTAACATTCCATATCTGTCTGCTCAAGCGTCCTCTTTTACCCGGTCTTGCGACTGGCAGTAACCCTAAAGGAGCCACAGGCGGACTTGATATATTCTTAGCTATTAATAATTGCGGTTTTTCTCCTTATTGGACTACAGTACTACTGGTTTATAAATGATATACAGTAAATCTAGCTGATCAATATATTTCGAATCTTTCTGAATAATCTGTATACAGTAAAAATACAGGATGCGATAAAAAACGTAATTGTAAATCCTTAGAAGTATTTGTTAGTAGGTCATATTCGCTATTCAGAGAACATGTTACTCAGTACAAATGACATACCTACTTCAGACACTTATTTGCAAACGATTAGAGACCCATATCATGCTGTTTAGAAAAGGAACGAAAATAAGTTTAGAATTCTGTTATCATAAGTAGAACATCCAAATCATATTGTGGAATTTCTGGTTACTGACGAGCGCAGTAATATGATGTGGTCGAGTGTTAGATGCTATTGTCTTAAACCTCCGAATGTTTAGAAAACAAAGATCTAAGCACAGAGCTTAGTTTTTGGGCATTGTGTCAGTCAGTTGACGCGAAAATTTGAAATGACTCCCGAGTAATAATACTAGTAACCGTAAACGATGTGCTTTTTGACTATCTTTCCACGGAAAGGCAGGCACTCCATATAGATTCGGTGTTTCTAATCGTCGTGAACGTCTGAGCTATATGTTGCACTCAAACCGTGACCGTGGTTGCTGAAATTCAGACGGTTAGACCATGTACTCTATATACAAATCCCTTAAAGTTATTGTTTGTGAAGTAGCTTTGGTGGACGGAATACTTAAGTGAACTTCAGAGAATTTCGACATTTATTTCCATTAACTTCATGCGTATGTTGCAATTACCAGTTTCATGTAATATCGTTGTCATCCTAATGAGGCAGCCATTCATATAAAAGTTTACAAAAGTACGAATTTTTGATTCGACCAATCGATACACGGTTCCAGCATCAAAACAAAACTTAAATAACACCAAGTTGGACAATGTATCGAAAACTTCAATCATGACACACTAGAACAACTAACTCTTTAGTGGACACATTAGTCAACTAAAACATATGCAACTAATGTTCATCCACTTGAATCATACACGAGCCCTCAGCAAATAGTAAAGAACAAGTACGACTGAATGAAGTGTCAACCTTTTACTAAGCCCTAGATGATTAAGCAAGTGTCAAACACGTTTAATCGAAGTCACTAACTTCTAGTCTGATCAATGTTGGTAGATGCAGACTATTTGGTTGGGGTCCGCGTGACTATTGTAACCAATGATTGGAGACTGAGCGACATGGCTCAAAATCGACCACAGTGGCGTAGGTGTATACACCATCTATCTCTCCTTAAACTATGAGACTAAAATTATTTCACATCTTTCTTTCTGTACTTTATCCTTACATAAAATCTTTCCTTTATATATTACACCACCGAGTTAACTGCTTCTATGAATCCGGTGTTCGTCTTGTTGTGCTAATAAGGTGTGACAACTTGGACCGATGCATGTATGTGCCTGGTCCTACGTTGTAACTGATTAACATTCGAAACCTAATGAATGAATTAAATTTAAAAAATATCTCAATAGCTTACTCTTCTATTCAATGTGGATCACAAGAATAGGAAACCAAAAGACGAAGTGAAAAAAAAAACAATTTTATTAGTGCAGGTAACGTTAGGGCATATTTCTTAATATTTTGATATACGAAGCAAAAGAGTTTCAGAATACACTTTTATTTATAAATAAAACAGAAATATATTTGTGTTAAGTCCATGTAAATCTCGACTTAATCAGAACAACGTAAATTTATAACAAATAATTAATTAAGTACTTTAGTTGTTGTTTTTTTTTAAATTTTGTTTCTCGACAAAATGCGAAGTAGAAAGATTAAGTGAAATAATACCAATAAAGAGTATTATTATTATTATTAAGCAATTTAGCCGAATGCTAAAGAAATGAAGACCATATTTTTTATTCGTCATCACGATCACGTCTCTAAAAGAAAGAATTGATAATATAAATTAGATCTGTTCAATAATTCATTTGAAAATCAAAATATATAGACACTTTTAATCTAGTGGTAATGTGACCAGATTGTTAATAACATTTGCTGTTCATTTATTTAGATTGTGTAAAAGTTCTTGATACTTAGTTCTATACAAACATCTTGGAAACCAAAAGTCACACAATAGGATTATTACTGTCATGCAGTAAAATAATTAGTGGAAGTACTAGGTGAAATACAATAAATGCCTATATAGAACTTTAATCACTTGCAATTATAAGAATATATAGGCCTATTCATTACTATGTTCTCTAGTGTTAAATGTTGGGAAGTAGACAGTAAAACTCTTAAGTTACAATTCACATTCAAAATATCGTAGAGATATAAAACTAGGAACATACCCTTTTGGAGTTGAGGATTATAAGAAGATGACGGAATATTTCGACAAAATCAATGAACAAATCCAACGTGTGCCTGAAACAGGACAGAAAATAACGAAAATTGAGAAGTTCAGTGAACGCTTCGTGATATTTTACACTGAGTCTTAATACGTAAGTTGTTGAACTGTGATAGTCCGATGAATATCCTATCAGATTATAATGTTGAGTGTATGCTTTATTTCTAAGACATATATACTGGACCTACATGCACTGATATCCACATGATTGACTTGTAGGTCAGGAATGGCAAATCCAAAACAAACAAGTTTTAGCCTAGTAGATAATGTTTCATCTCTGCCATTACCATGTCCCAGCTATCGGGACTTTACAGTTATTGGATTATTTAAACTTTTCTTCAAGTGAACTTCCATCATTCGGTATATTGAAAATCTATCAGTTTAGAGCGGCAACCACTTTTAAAAACATAACACTGTATTATATGTGCAAATTATATTTGAAATATTCTCAGCGATTGAAATTTAACTAATTCCAACGTTTCGTCCAGCTAACTTGTCTGTACTTCTTCAGGGTAATAATCAAAATTATCAAAGAAATATATAGCTTTTAACAATCAGGATTATACTGTGTTAAACCAATCATATATGGACGAATATTCGTATAACACTGTATTATTTTATTTATGACCTTATCGTACTCAAAGAATTCAGGTTTACACTATGAAATGATACTCAAGCAAAGCACTCGGTATCTAACTGAACATAGTTGTAAAATCTCTATATGTAAATGATTCGAATTGAACACTCAAGCTCTCAAACCGGTTGAAATGGAACCAGATACCAGTAACTGGAAGCTGTTGCACACAGAAATTGATACCTGAATGAAAGCGATATGTTGACTACTAATTTTCAAATTTCCGTTTTTTGTTTTGATCAATCTATTGGTGAGTGGACAAGTTGACCTTATTATCTTGAATAGAATGTAGTTAGTGCTACATTGCATTTAGCTTTTCATTGCGATGAATGTCATTTACTATCTTCTGCTCTTTACCATGTTAATATTCTCTTTTGCATTGTAACAATCTGGATAGACAAACATTCGTGTCAGTCTTTGACTGATATATTGCATTATTCCCGACTCAATGTGCAGAGTGCATAGTGTTTGTATGAATTCTGAAGTCAATCAGTAGTGAAAGCTCTACCATGTAACTCAGTGAACTCACCATACGAAATCAGTATCCCCATTACGGCGCTTTTCAACGATTAACTGGGTATCGAAAATCACAAATGCACAAAATATAGCCAATCCGATGTAAAGTTCAGCGTTGTATATGGCCGAAGAACGAATAAATAAGTTCATGAAGCTAAATGTTGTCAGCAAACTGATTGCAGACATCAATCCAGCTATGGGACGAAGAAAAAAATTGCAATGCATCGATATCAAAAAATCGTATTAGTGAATAGAACTACAGCTTTTTATCTATCCAGTTAGTTATTATTTAAGTTTTCGTTCATCTGTGATAATAAATATTCACCTCTAACATGCTTCATTTGTATAGGTTGTAAGCAACTGAGAAAACCCAAACAAACAAAATGAAATCCAGTCATTCTACTCAAAACTTTATTCTTACTATTTTCAACATGCACCACTGCCAAATATAGATCAATTGTTTCTTTATCACTAGTTACATACTATAAAAGCCTTCGCTCATTTTGCATTTTACGGATTTACGCACACGTATGGCACAAAGTCGAGTGAATAAACCTGTATCTAGTAAATGAGCTACTTAAATCCAAATTGTACAAATATAGTGGTATCAACGATCAAACACAAACTTATGTATGTAAATGTCGCGGAGCAGTAACTCAGTGGTTAACGTGTTTGACTATCAACCAATTCGCAAGTTAGAACTCTGTTCCACTTCGTTTTGGGAATATAGGAAGCATTAATAGTCATCAAACCTAGATTATAACTCGAAGCAAAATACAAGGATCTGTACCCGAGAGATAAGAATTAGACTAGATCAGATGTGAATACTAGGAACTGAGACTAAATAATCAAAGTGTGGAGAACAATTTTCTAGCTAATAAACACAATAGCTGTTGATTTTGAAATGACAAAAATAACTGATGAAAGCTAGGATTTAGATTTAACCGGTATTTTATTGTCGGAACAACGCTAGCACTCACAGTATCACAACTAGCGTGCCTTCGAGGTTAAGGTGTTCATCATCAGGGATGACTTTATGATTACAATATTCAAATAACAAAAGGCACAAACAAATGAATGGATTGAACTTGATATATTACTCAATAAGACCACATATTCGGTTGTAATGAATAACTTTCGGTCACTCGAGAGTGGAATCCTAATATAAAAATTGTTTGTCCATAGACAGACACTGTTGTGAGATGCCACAGCATTTGACAGGGCGAGATCTCTTCTGCTCATTAAATTACAATGAAGTTGATCTGACTAAGTGGCGGGTTTCGATATAAGTTAACTTAATTAAGAACCTTAATTTATGATAGCTTAAAAAAGCGATAAGCAGCACACATCTACTATACCTTAATAAGTCTTATTATTAGTTGATGTTTGAATATATTTTAGCACTACAAACAATTCACTTCATACATAGGGTTTAAGACCAAAATAATATATGGCGGGGGATGTATGAAGTGCCAAATGCAAACTCATATACAACTTCAACACCATTAGACATGAAATACATCAGTATTTGCTGTTACACATAATGGTTGGGTTAGAAAACATAGAAAACAAGGCATCAGAGAAACAAGAAAAAAAATACAAACTCACCACCAAGATAGATGTAATATCGTTTTCGTGTAAACAGTGCTGTTAAGGTGAACGAGACGAAAATCAAGGCAGTACCCAAAAGGGCAGTTGGAATAGTATCTGGACTGATTACTGACAATGCTTGAAGAAGTGGACCAAAACCAATACCTAGAATGAAAACAGGTAACTAGAATCTGCATGATGGGATGAACTAGTCTTATGCATTTAACTGATAAAAACTACCACTCATTCACCATGATTGACGTGACTGCACTTTAATAAATACTGATAAAGTTTGAATCCTAAAACTCTGCTATTCTAAGAATAGCAAATTTGAACAGTTTCTATAGGTATGTAGAGATCCTTGGTAGGGTCATGGACAAATATTGCTGAGTCTTTTACTAGGCTGAAGTAGCTGGTCGGTGCTTCTTGGATTTTTAATAGCCGTCTGACTAATATCAGTTTGTAATGTAAACTAACAAACAGTTTCGTAGGGAAAGCGACATTATGCTACTAGGTGAAGTGAAATAAACCTGATGATAAGTCGAGTAAGTATGTATCAATGTAGCCTGAACTAATTAAACGCCTATAAACAGCAAACAATTACGCGAGATGAATTAACCTGAACCAGAGGTAAGAAATGAGCTTATGTAGTTCGTGACACGTCAGGAACCAGTTACTTGGAAAGTGATGACTAAAAACTAATCCAAATTTCACAGGTTGAAATCATGAGTCAGTTGAAGCTAGACCACCATTGAAAACCTGGAAGCACTGGACGGCCGTTTCTTCCTAGTATGGGACTCCTCAGCGGTGCGCATCCACGATCACGCACCACGCAGGGCTCGAACCCAGGACCTACTGGCTTTAACTGACTCATGATTCCAACCTGTGAAATTTCCTAAAATTCTCCACAAAACTCATTCTAATAATCAATTGCTCACTAGTGACTGACTTCAGGAGAATCTCCTGGAGTTCTAGTGAGAAGCCGTCACCAATGGAGTTCAACCAGGTCTGTTGTGAGATATCAGCTCACTGAAGACAATGGTGTTCGATGGCGCAACTTCGTGGATTGGTTGAAGTTAGACATTAACGCCGTTGGATGCCGGCTCAGTGGTCTAATGGTTAAGTGCTCGCGCGCGAAGCCAGTAGGTCCTGGGTTCGAGCCCCGAGTGGTGCGGGATCGTGGATGCGCACTGCTGAGGAGTCCCATACTAGGACGGAACGGCCGTCCAGTGCTTCCAGGTTCTCAATGGTGGTCTAGCTTCAACTGACTCATGATTTCAACCTGTGAAATTTCCTAAAATTCTCCACAAAACTCATTCTAATAATCCAAATTAACAGGACCTGCTTGAACTACAAGTCCTTACGAGTAGATGATTGTATCATTTTACTTATATTTGTTGCATCCCCCGTTATCTTAATTTTTTATGAGAAGGTTTAACGGATAACATTGTCGTGTTACGGATTGAAGAAAAACGAGATGGGCAGACCACCTTTCAGAACTACACTCAATACAAGAAACTCTTACCTGTAGAAAAACAGAACAAGAAGAAAGCACCAAGTCTAGAATGAAGAGTTTCTCTTGAGTGTTGTGTGAAATAAATGAACAAAGAGCTTCCAAGGGATAAAATGAATGACAAGACCACCAAAGAAGTTGTAATCGACTAAAAAAATGGTGGAAAAAATATTAATAAAAGTGATTATAGTATTATGATACGTGATAAAACGCACAGGTAATTATGAAAAACTTTTAATGGGATTCTGAAAGAGCAAGTGTAACAGACGAAAACAGATATGAATCTAGCTTTTTGAGTCTTGGAACATCCTTCAATTTAGCACTGACGCCACTTACCATTGCTTTCCTTACAGGCAGTCTTATTTGGTTCAAACACAGCCTTGCTGTAACAAAACCTATGATGCCTATATCGCTAGTATCCAAAACACTGGATGCATAAATGGGCACAATTGTGACTGATTTGAAGTTCCTGATTAGTGGTTGTAATAATCGTGCAGGTTCTAAGCTGGAAGTACGCAACTACCCAAACGACTCACTTTAACAGCTGGTGACTTTGCAGACCAATGCCATATTTATTTATTTATTTTAACACAGATATTAGTACAAGACGGCAAATAGATATGCGCCACACAAATCTCATTCGATACGTGTGAGGGCTGTGATACTGCCCGGGTGCCCAAACCGAAGCAGGTGGTTTTTTAGGGGGCCATATTCTTACGTATTAAATTTATTTATTTATTTGGACATATAAACATTGATAGAAAGGGGTACCAAAAGCATATGCGCCACATAACAATGAGGTTTTGAAGAGAGAATGTAAAGTGACGATAATAAAAAGGACAACAGTGACCAGAAACTAGTGTGTGAGTGAAATGATAATAATAATAATAGGAGTCAGTTTAGTCAGGGAAAATATAACCAGAAGTTTGCGAAAGTACAACAGAGCTAAGCTCAACAGTGTTGCTCAATTGTCTGAGGGTATTTTTTTTAGTAAGAACTAAACGAAATACTAACCTAAGTAAGTAGTCAACAAACAGCACTTAGGTTCCTTAGTTATTTAGTTGTTCTCGACTCACTAAACAAATCTTAGGTTAGTTTGCATCAACACAGAAACTGGCATAATTGTGGGTCAGTAAAAGTTGCTTTATCATCAGATGAAATTAGCAAGAACAGTAAACGAACTAAAATGTAATAGTAATGAGAAATTAGGTATTGAATGTATGGTTAGTAAAAATTAAAAACGCATACACGAACCAATAATGGGACTCGGAATCTACGGCGAGATAAAGCAAACGCATCTGCGTCACGAAGATCGATCCTGAAATGTCATCTGCCTTCAAACGATGAACACCACTGCTGTACAAATTCACACCAGACGGACACAGTTCAATTCGACAGTTAATGACCTCCCTGATTTATGTTAAATCCTGTAATTGATGTCCCAAACTTCACAAATCAGAGGATAACGCTTATGACCGATCTTCGGAAAAGCCTAATGCTCTAGCTTCATTAATCTAAGACGGCGGCTGTTCTCTGTATACTCTCGAAGGTGGTATGATTATTATTAATAAAGTTACGGCCCACAACATCGCTTTGAGAGTCATGTTCTAGTTGGTGACACCGTTTAGGTTCTGCAGATACTTTTATGGAGGGTTAGAAATAATGACTGGACGATTCACCTGTGTCAGTAGTGTCACTTACAGATAAGACGACTGTAGATTTCCCGGTAGCATTGAGCAATAAACGAACTTTAATTATTCGTAAATGCATAGAGTAAACTGTACTTCTGTGAATCCAATTAGTAATACTATTATTGCAATTACTACATACTGATTTATAGTTTTACTACATAGGACGGATTAGTAACAGTAACCAGTCTTCAACTTAACTAGTATTTAATATAAACGTAACTCACCTGCAGAAAAGAGTTTATTTGATATAAGTATGCCCCAACACATGATATTATCATACCAATTGAGAGTGTACTGTATACGTTCTTAAGATGGACTTGAACATTTTTGTCACTAAGGTGGCGTAAAGCTGAGTAAACACGAAAAACTTACAGATCTCGAAAATTAAAAACAGTCCCCAGATTCATCCTCTGGGAATGCGAGTAGCGCGACATAGCCAACGGAATATACGTGTACTAAGAACGAAAGGAGCTTTTTAAAACAAGGGCGTACAAATTTCAACAGCTTCCTCTCACGGTACATTCATATTTCAATATAACTGAACGGGGTTAGTGTAAGTTGATTAATATTTTATTCCTAAATATTGGTATTGGAGTGTAGCTTCCGTTTTTTGATAATATCTAGTATGATGTGTCAAGATGATCCGGCAAAACTATTTGTTGATGATATATGTAGTGTTCAAACAATTCGAACTGTTGTACACGAAAAATAAGTTTACGTTAAACAAGTCTTCATGTTTATAAGCAGTGTATTACTGATACTTCGAGATAACTAATTAGATAGTGAGACGAACAACAATGAAACTGTTTTAGTAAATCCATGTTATAATCTGTATTAAGAATAAATAAAGTCTTCATTAACAGGACGAAAATTAATGCTCGTTCTCTGATTTAGTTTTATTGTGTAGACATAAACAAATCGTTGGAACAAGTGGGTTTTCTGGATCTTCGGTAGTTCTAATGATTCAAATGGTTGTGGACGGAATAGAAGAAACTTTCGCGTGACGGGCCTCTGTGTCTAGTAGCGGTGGATCACCAATACCACCAAGCAGGAACCTGGATATATTAACGATAATAAAGGAAAATAGAAATCGGTGAATCATAATAAGATACTATCCTTAGTCCTTAGCTCTGCCTGTAGCTCTTCTAGAGTTGCTGCCCGTCCTAAGCCCTGGTAAAGGAGGAGGGTTGGGTATGGGGTTAGCGACCCCATACCGTAGAATACTAACTCACTAAAAAACTCTAACCAGAAAAAAATAATTCAAACCATTTAAACTCTGCCCTGGGAGTTAGAAGTTCATCATTTAGGAGAAATATGACGCCTCATGGTGAAAGCCGAGTTTCTTCGGAAGCCACGAGGCCGATGCCCCTTCTAACAACTAGAGCAACAATTTTAATAGGTACATGGAACGTCCGAACAAATGTGAGAGACCGAGAAGACCAGTCAAATATCAATGAAAATGAAGAGATACAACTAGACAGTACTGGGAATCAGCGAAACCCATTGGACCCAAGCTGGACAGCAAAGGCTAAATACGGGATAGATGCTGCTATACACTGCCACGGAAAGGAAAATGCTACACACATTCAGGGAGTTGTTCTAATGCTGTCCAAAGTAGCACGAGGAACTTCTGAATAGGTCGGCTCCAATGAATCCACTGTACATCGAAGCAGCACACATATATCTTCTCATAAATGTCAATCCGCCAACGACGGAAGAAATCAGAATGGCCATCAGAAAAATCAAGAACGGGAAAGTAGCGGGACCCGACAACATACCAGCTAAAGCACTGAAGCCAGACATCGAAGTAACTACAAACATACTTTACCTTCTATTCAAAAAGATTTGGGGGGAGGAACAAGTGTCGATGGACTGGAAAGAAGGGCACCTCGTCAAAATTCCAAAGAAAGGAGATCTGAGCAAATGTGAAAACTACAGAGGCAGTACACTACTGTCAGTATCAGGGAAGGTCTTTAACAGAGTGTTGTTGAACCGGATGAAAGATGCAGTAGACGCCCAACTTCGAGAACAACAAGCTGAATTCCGTAAGGATCGATCGTGGACAGACCAAATTGCGACACTACGGATCATCGTCGAACAATCAGTTAAGTGGAACTCTTCAGTGTACATCAACGTCATTGATTATGAAAGGGCATTTGACAGTGTAGGTAGGAGGACGTTATGGAAACCTTTTTGACACTATAGAGTTCCTGAGAAGATTGTCAATATTATCCGGAACTCATACGACAGACTACAATGCAAAGTCTACAGTCCGTTATGTTGTGTCTTATCTCTAGTTTCTCGGTGTTACCCCTCAGGTTTGTGTTGGAGCTAAAATTAAGCAGGTGTTTAAGGAGATGTCCAGAAATGTTAATGATACTATAAGCCATTAGAAGGTCACCTCTAGGACGCCTGTACTGTAATGTGTAAAGGTTTAGTGATTGGAAGCGATCTTGATAAGGCTCAACTTTCAGTCCATAAAATGATTTCGTGGCTCGTCGTTGGATACTATCCAGACTGTCCTTACTGTATTGGAGTGAGGGAGGAAATACTATGTTTCCGTACTCTAAATGGGGACGGATAAAACTATTGAAGATTATATGGAAAAATCTTCCGTTAAACTGGCCAAAAATGCACTTCAATGTTACCAGTGCGAGGTTTGCTCGGAAGGCATTTTTGTTACAGTTAGCGTAAGACTTTAACTCGTAGAGCACCCCACTAGGACATCCCATAGCCTGAGATAAAGTGAAGTTAACCCTGACCTTAGAATGCTGACTTTTATATATGGAGTAAGCTAAGCAATTAGAGGCGATTTGACACCCAATCTTTTGAGTTTATTGGTTTGACATATATGATTGACCCTATCAAAAGCTTTTGGGAATTCAAAGTAAACGTTGTCAACTTTCCTGTTATGACTTTATTTCCGGCTTTTTATCACGTGACTTACCCACCAATCAGAATACGACTTATACAAATCTTCACGCTATGCCAACCACTGACGTCCAACCGGTGTGGACAGTCTAACGTCGTTATTGATCCTATGTCCTTCTAGCCGTCCGTTTGAGTCCAGAACAGAATACCAGCTTTTGCAATATGAATTGAATCGAATCGTTTATTTCAGACATACTCGGTTTATACATCAATCAGACAGACCACAACGTACCATAAAATCTGAAATAGCATTTGTACAATATTTGGCCAAATGTGGCTGTGAGCGTGGGAGGCAGTAGTCAATAAGATGGACATGGCTTAAGAACCGTAAATCGTACGATAATAAATTATAGGTCAAAAAAAAAGCTTATTATAAAAGGAATATAAATATACATAATCCAACTGTTGAATGGTTACAGAATAAGAATATTTATAGAATATTTGTCCATTAACAGTCCTCAGAAGTTACCCATTATTTAATCTTCTCTCGGATTGAAGTCCCCTAGAATCAGGATATAAGTGAATCCGAGACGCCTAGAGAGGGATAATCCTTCCCGCATAGGATTGTTATACTCGGTGTCAGCAGTGAGCTTCCTGTAGGTGACCCCAACTAGAAACCTCGAGGTGGTGGACAGTCTTACTGGGAACCATACTGATTCATCTTGATTGTGTACTTGATATACCTTCAGGCGCGATCGTAAGTATAGGGCTACTCCACCCCAATTCCTGTTTTTCCGTCATTGAGAAACAAAGACATCCAGGGTATTTCTAGCTCCTGGTCCACAAAGTGAGATGTTCAAATTTCAGATATTTCATCAGATGAGCATTATTAGCATTGCTAAGTTCATGTAGCTCATCCATTTTATTCGGTAAACTCGTGGCGTTCATATATAAACAGTTTATACTTTCAATTTGAAACACGTGAGCTTCCCTGTCCTGTCTGTTTGTATAAGCCAGTAGAGTTGTGTTCTACTTCGGTATTAGTACTCCTCTAATAATAAGTCTAATCCTGAAATTGTAGATTATCATGTTGTAACTGCCTAATCTATAAGATTTTACGCGAAAATCACATCATTCTCTACACTGACTGGTCATACCTAACAATTACCAATATATGATGGAGAATACATTTAGGCTGGAGATAGAACAATATATTTAGAAACAAGTTATACAGGTAGAACACACTTGCAAGGCTGAGCTATGCCACCAATTTGAATCCATTCTTCCCTCCTACTCCCTCGTCGAGTTTTTCTCCGCGTTGAATGTTGAAAATCTGCGTTCCCAATTATCTCGTGTTCAGCTTTGAGGATTGTGTGCTTGGGGCCCAATGTAACTATAAGTCTTTTGTGAATGGACAGGTAGCTTATCCATACAAGGTTTTCCAAGTTGGTAGTCCCTGTCTTTTCCACGATTTTTATGATTTAGACGGTCCGCGAGTGAAATGGTCAGCTCCAACTTGCCTTTGTTCTTGATCCTGGTGTCTTGTGGCCTATCCGGATGCATATGGATTCCAGTTAGCAACCGGTATCTGTTGTCACGAGATGCTTCCATAGTTGCAGCCGCCATATGGGGGGATGGGAGCGTTGTCTTCATCAGCCGGGTTCTGGAATCGCTGTCTTTGTTGGCTAGTCTCAGCTCCTGTTGAGTCAATGTGGTTTTGAGCTTCAAGGACTGCTTGATGAAGTTCCATTCCCTAATATCAGAGTTAATGTGGTCAGGGTCCATGTTTTCTGATACACCTTGCACAATGATATTTGTTCTGCGAAAAAACTTCTCGCGACATTCCTTAGGGATGTTTTGAATGATATCGCGCTCAGAATACGTTATGTTAGGCGGTATTTTTGCGTTTATATCTGATATCAGTAAGTGACTAGCCGGTAGGGTATCCTCTTGGACAGTATTGTTAGCGAGTTTTACACGAAGTACCCTTGAGTTCTTTCCCTGTGTAAGCCGTGTGACAGCCAAAGGCTCTATTTAGGGAAGTTTGAGCTTCTTGTTTAACTCTTCCCAGAACATCCTGTCATTTTTGTTCTGCGAACTGAGGGGTAGGTCAGGGCTGTCTTAACGGTACATGATTGTTAGAGAATTATCGCCAAACGTTATTGAATTCTCAGATTTTCGGGTACGCTCATGGTGAAAACCTTGTTGTTTGAGCGTCGAAGCGCGTTTCCGATTCCTGTTGCCTTTGCTGACCGGTTGGGCATTCTTTAGGGTATGCTGTGCGGCCAGATCACCAGTTGGGATGTTCAGTTCCCTGGACGGTGACTCCCGATCACTCTTAACTTTGCTAACTGGGTCCGATCACCTACAGAGTTTTTGAGAACCACCGTTGCATTCAGAGATCCTGTGCTGGGAGACCCAAGTCTGCTGAGGGAGTCTAGTACCGTCGATGTTGTGATGGTGCTGAGCTTCAGCATGTCCTCACTAATGTCGTTAGGTGCTCTATAAATAGTAGAGTTTTCGAGATCTCCATTCTGGTCTCCACTGTTCGTCTTTGTTTGTT